ACTGCTGAACAGCCCCACCCTCAATCTCAACCCACTTCCCTGTGCTTGCAAATCCCAGGGACTAGTTTTTTGGTTTGTCAGATTTACTCGTGGATCGGCTGCACAGTCTCAAAGAACTCAACATGCGCTTCACCAGCATTTCCTTGCTTTTAGGTCGTTGGCATGGAGGGGAAGATGATTCGGCACCCTCTAAGCAGAACAGTTGTATACACATATACAAAGAGCATAGAATTCACGGCGGAGAACTTCCTTATGTGCTCGGAGAATGTGGAAAATTATTTAAGACCAAGTCCCATCTGAGTGAACACAGAAGAGTTCACACTGCAGAAAGACATTATGAATGCAGTGAATGTGGGAAGTTCTTTGCTTTTATCTCTCGTCTCATTAAACATAGGAGAGTTCACACTGGAGAAAGGCCTTATGAGTGCAGTGAATGTGGGAAAACGTTTGCTCAAAAGGCCATTCTCATGAGGCACAGGAATGTTCACACTGGAGCAAAACCTTATGAGTGCAGTGAATGCGGAAAAACCTTTGCTGAAAACTCCAGTCTCATTAAACACAAGAGAGTTCACACTGGAGAAAGGCCTTATGAGTGCAGTGAATGTGGGAAATCTTTTGCTTATAATTCTAGTCTCTTTAATCACAGGAGACTACATACTGGAGAAAAGCCTTATGAGTGCAGTGAATGTGGCAAAACCTTTGCTCTAAAGGCTGTTCTCATGCGGCACAGCAAAGTTCACACTGGAGCAAAGCCATATGAATGCAGTTTATGTGGGAAGTTCTTTGCTTATATCTCTCGTCTCATCAAACACAGGAGAGTTCACACTGGAGAAAGGCCTTATGAGTGCAGTGAATGTGGTAAAACGTTTGCCGCAAAGGCTGGTCTCATGAGGCACAGGAAAATTCACACTGGACCAAAGCCTTATGAGTGCAGTGAATGTGGAAAAACGTTTGCTGAAAACTCCAGTCTCATTAAACACAGGAGAGTTCACACTGGAGAAAGGCTTTATGAGTGCATTGAATGTGGAAAAACCTTTGCTGAAAAGGCCAGTCTCATGAGGCACAGGAAAGTTCACACTGGAGCAAAGCCTTATGAATGCAGTGAATGTGGGAAGTTCTTTGCTTATATCTCTCGTCTCATTAAACACAGGAGAGTTCATACTGGAGAAAGGCCTTATGAGTGCAGTGAATGTGGTAAAACCTTTGCTGCAAAGGCTGGTCTCATGAGGCACAGGAAAATTCACACTGGACGAAAGCCTTATGAGTGCAGTGAATGTGGAAAAACGTTTGCTGAAAACTCCAGTCTCTTTAAACACAGGAGAGTTCACACTGGAGAAAGGCCTCATGAGTGCAGTGAATGTGGAAAAACCTTTGGTCAAAACTCGAGTCTCAATAGACACAGGAGAGTTCACACTGGCGAAAGACCTTATGAGTGTAGTGATTGTGGAAAAACCTTTGGAGAAAACTCTCATCTAAGGACACACAGGAGAGTTCACACTGGAGAAAGGCCTTATGAGTGCAGTGAATGTGGCAAAACCTTTGCTCAAAATGC